TTTGTGTGTGATTTTAAAAACTAACGATTCTCGACTTTCTGTATCTGAATGTTAAAATTGTCTCTTTTGATTGCATTTAATCACACAGGAGTGGAAAATGTAAGCCTCTTTTAAAAATGAAAAAATGTACTTTGAGAGGAGCAAAAAATCTGCCATCAACGGCAACAGACAAGGCTCTTTGAGTTACCTCTCTTCTGAAAAAAAAACTATGTCGGAAGAAATGATTGAGCAGAGATGTAATACATCTTAGTAAGGTTTTCATCGCATAAAATATGTTACAAAAACGGACGTGTGAATGCATATGCATAATCCTTCAAAAGGCTAATATTTGCTGCGAAAACTCTGAAGTAAGCAATGAAAGGAAAATAAAAAGCGGCCATGTGCCGGGATCGATAAAAACGCCTTGATGCAACTATTAGTGCTCAATGGATGACCGTGTTGCATATCGAAAAAGTGAAGGCGCTTTCCATGCAGACGTTGGGCTGCATTCATTATTGCATTAATTCACTAAATCACTACTCCTGCCTGGTGATCCGTCTGATTAAAGCGAGAAAAATGGAACAAAAATGAAGGGCTGTCACTTGCCCATTGGAAAATTTCATTAACAAAACAAAAATGGTATTGTGGATGTGTTCGAAATTTTGAATCAAATCTTTCGATATAAATGTATATATTATCGAGCTGTTTTCTGAAATTAACCTCGAAATGGTAGAGTTAAGATGTGAAGAAATTTTAAATACAATCTAGGAAAGATGCTTCTTCTCTAGGTTTTTTATGCACTGGTAAAAAAAACCTCTTGGACCAATGCCGCATTGCATTGACTTAAGAGTGCAGTTTCTTGTCGCCGGATTTAAGAGTCTTGAACTCTTGTTTCAAGCGGATTTTGCATTGAAACAAGAGTCCAGACTCTTAAATCCGGCGACAAGAAACTGCACTCTTGAACCAAGAGGTTTTTTTTTACCAGTGTGCTCCTTTTTTCCACATTGAAAACATCTGCCTCAGCGACTAAACGAGTGTAAAAAAGAGAAATATTTCAAAATCATGATCTTTTTCAACGTTCTACCTCTGAATTGAAGCACATATCGAATAATTCTACTCAAGAGAAAGCAATAATAATGAATCCTATAGATAACGCTGTTGGAGTATTTGGACATTGCTAGCACCATTTCAGTTCATACCTCTTATTTGCAGTTCTCAATTAAATAACGTATTTCCAAGGAGTTTCCTAAAAATTGTACGTGCCGTGCGTAATTTTTAGTCGAAAGTTCTTACTTTCTGTGGATATCGGTCACCAAATCAACCGCCTCAGTCGACAAGACTGAACTTTAGTTCGGTGAACCGAAGGCTGGGATCTAAAAAACTTTGGTCCACATGGAGCACGTTCCATATTGTCTAAAGTTTCTTGATTCAGTGAACGAAGTTCCCACTTCGACGAACTGAAACTTCAATTTATTGAACTAGACCTTCGCTCCAACGAATTGAAGTTCAGATTTTTCAACCAAGGCGACGAGCTCGCTCGACAAGAGGTTCAAAATCGCACACTGAACTACATAGGTACTCGGTTCTCATAACCGAAGTTTTTTTCTCTCCGCTTGTGCCAAAAATCGAGGAGTTAGGTGCAAAAACGTAGCCCGAGCAGAGTTTCTGTGGAGAGCAACTTTTCTGATTATACGCACTGTTATCAATACGTGGGCACATTTTCAACTTTTTTCTAAACATTTTTTTTTAAAAAAAATTTCAACTTTTTCATCCAATTCTTTCTTTTCTTCTTTTAGAAGCCCCTATTCGCATCCTACACAGTAATTCTGTGCGAAATCGGCCCAAGTATTAAACATTTAAACACAAAACATACCTCTCAAATTAGCCGCTCTATGCAAAATTGACCCGAGTACACCTTTTCCAATTCTATTATTTCTTATTTCCAACAATATATTTCTGTATTTCCATCGTGACAACTTAAACTTGAGGATACTCCTTGACTTTTTTTGACCTCAGCCAATGCTATACCTGATAATACAACAAACTGGTGCATAATGAAATATTCAATCGCCGATTTGTGCACCGCAAAAAGTGAAGTTGACTCTAACATCTTGAATGTAAAAAAGTGTGCTAGAACTTGAATGAACTGATACGGCAGTTAGATACTTTAGCAACGTCAAGATGTAAAACTAACTGCAGTAGCGGGTAGTATTACATTTTGTGAGTTCTTGTCTTGCGCACTTTTCCTACATACAGAATGTTAAATCAACTTCACTTTTTTTCGGTTTGGAGCCGCGATTTTGATACTCTGGCTTTTTTGCACCTAACTCCTCAATTGTCTTACAGTTGAAAATCTGGAAACTTGGCAAAGAGATGGAGACTGGGAACCGGCCGAAAAGCGATCCGCAAATTTGAATAGGCAAACCTATTCACCGAGACACTACCGGTTTCGTTCCCAGCCCCCCTCATTGGCGAAGCCAGCCCCCTGCGCGTCGCTATTGATTTGTGATTCCGTCGCTATTGTTCTCCTTGATTTAATTTGGGCTCCTCCGATCAGACCATCGACGCCGATGTCGAACAGAGCATCGCAGCCAAACACCTCAGGTCCATCAGAAAAGAGCGCAACTACCCAGTAAATTTGGCAACATTACCACGACCATTTTCATCTCAAATAGGTCGATCAGTGGCACTCTTCAACAAGCTTGTAGTGCAACGTTGTCAAATAGGTCCATTCTAAACTTTTGTTGGGGCGAAAATAAGAGTTGTTTCGCATTTAACATGACGCAAAAAGTCGTCACCTTCCGACCGAAGTACAAAAGCGCCATGCGACGTTCGAAAATTTCCGCCGCCATTTTATTTTTTTGCAGAGAAATTCCTCCACGAAGCTGACCGAAAATTTCACTGAATTTTCTTTGTGCTGCCGATAAAATTCAGTGAAATTTTCAAACATATTCAACCAAAAATTTCTCTGAAAAAATGAAATGGCGGCAAAAATTTTGAAACTTCGCATGGCGCTTGTAATACTTTGACCGGAAGGTGACGAAATCATGACACGCGCAGCGGAAAAGTCTGAAATTCACACGTGACTTCACAATCTGATCGAGGATTGGCGCATATTTTTAAGTTTCCCGCTTCAATAGGGATATTGGGGTGAACTGAATTTTCAGTGCCATAATAGTCTCATACTTATTTGTTTAACGATTTTTACACACGATATCTGGTATTACAATGTTTTGTTTTTCTTACTTTTCTGTTCATTCATTTCAACTCATGGTCACGTTCTGAATTTTTCTTGCGCACGCTTTGGGCATGCCACTATCAGCATGTCATGACAGCCTAATAGGAGCTGTTTTTACGCACTGGAAAATATTTATATGAATATGTACTTTAATACTTTGATAAAAATAGAGATCGCGTTACATATTTGACTTTAGTGTAAATTCGTAAAAAAAAAACTCTTAAAAGAACACAGTAAGATAAAATTCCTTTGTATATGCACCTTTTACACATTTACAAACATAGATACATACAAATTTCATCTTGTGTGGTTGACAGTTCTTCATAAATTCGGTGATGACGAACAGAAATGGCCAAAACCAACACATATAAATTTAAAATCAAATGATGTATTTTAAAAATTACTTCCGTGCAAGTTATTTAAAACTATAATCAAAATTGAATTACTGTCAGCATAAAGCAGGCTAGGCATGCATTATTTGGACATATCTATGCAAAATAAGTTTATTTACTGGACATTTTAAGGAAAAATTATTTATTTTTGGGTTTAATTTCAATTCAGGAATGAAGTTTTAAAATTTGCCATATAGGACTGAGGATTAACTACTGGAAATCTGATCATAACTAAACATAATCCCCATTAATGAGATAAAGTGGAAAATAATTACAACAGCAAAGAAAATTATCACGCAAAGTTACACAATCAGATGAATTATTTAAATACCCCTTTATTTGATAGACGATGATACAATTACCGTGCACATCTCAGCAATTGAACTGTTTTTCCGTTTAAAAAAAATGAAAAAATAATAACTTGGTGGTCGACGACTAACGCGTTAAACAGTCAATACAACCAAAAGGACAAAGTCAAAAATTTTATTTGCGAGTCGCAAGGCGGTCAACCCATTTCACCAACCATCATTACTCCATTTGCTCCGTTGCTCCCTTCAGAAAAGAACGTAACACCATTTTAATGTTGCCAAATTTCCCCCCGAAAATCGCATTTTTCTCAGTAGAATCTTGAGCATTTTCAACTGAAAATTTCCCTAATTTTTCTTCTGATCTCGAACAAAAATTGGAGGAATTTTGAGGAAAAACTGTGTAAGTTCACACTTGTGAAATATCGAATTATTTGAATTAATTTCCCCATCAAATGAAAACCCTATAGAGTTACGTTTCTTCATGCGGGATGAGACGACTTTTGACTTTTCGAGAACTAAGGTACGGTCCCCGTGGACGGTAGAGTCCCTTTATACCCAGAGTTAAGACAACTCGATTATCAGCTGAGTGGCAGCCGGCTTCGGCTGGCCATGGAGACACATAGGAGTGCACCGCCCAAACGAACGATATTGAGGGATAAGGATCAGGAATCCTGCGATGTCTGTCATACAAAAACAACATCAACAAATTGATCAATTAAAAAGAAAATGAGATTGGTTTGTGAATAATTTCTTAATCTATTTTCATTTTGGACCGATGGAAATAACAATTTACTCTTGATAAACCACAATTAGGTAATATTTTCATTATTTTTGTTCACATTCGAGTCACTGCCATCTTTGTGCACTCGTTTGTGACTCCATGAGCGAGAACCAATCAGAATTGGATTTTTTTTCAGGCCACTTTCAGCCCAATCAAAAGTGAGTTGTCGTAACCCTGGGTATAAAGGGACTCTAGTGGACGGTTACTTACAAATACACACAGGCTGTACCTGGAAAATTTGGTCTTTTTGCATGGCCTTTTTTAATTTTCATCTGATATACTTTTCTTTTTTGTTTGAGCAGGGTGGTGGCGGCGGCGGAGGCGGTGGAGGTGGCTGGAAGGAGGCCGGCGGAGACAGCTCGGGCCAGGGCTGGGACAGGAGTATAGAGTCATCCTACGCGCATAAGACGGCATTCAGCGCATATGCACCAATCGAATCGTGATCCACATCCAACCACAACCGAACCTACCCGATCAAGTCAACCGAGTTGCCATATCTGGTCCTTTTCACCCCCGCCGACAAATTTGACCAAGTTGACGATTTTGAAAACACCTAATCCTTGGTAAAAATTGGCAATAGGAGCTGCGTTTCAAAATACCATATCAATTTTTATAGCCGGACAAAGGGAGCGATAGAAAATCATACAGCTGGCTGTAGAAAGTGAAACAGCCGGGCTATACGAAGCGATAAAAAATTATACAGCCGGGCTATACGAAGCTATAAAAAATTATACAGCCGGGCTCTAGTTCCTATCGCCGGACCATAAAGTTTATCGCATGGATGTAGCTTTAACGCCATCGGCTATAAAAGGCTTTAAAACATTGTACAGCCGGTTATAGAAGCTATTGGAAATCTTACAGCCGGATGTGTGTCTATAGTATTTTGGAACACAGATCCTACTGCCAATTTTTACCAGGGATGCGACTGAGCATACGTTTTTTATCATGCAAGTTCAGACTTGAGCCTAAGTCACACGATCAAGCTAAGCCATCAATCCATTGAGATCAGGGTTCTGATTGATTCTATGAAAACCAACATGAGAACTTTATGCCATCAACTAACTGGGGGCCGCTGTAATTTGATAGCGCACTGATCTCTGATTGGCACGCGAAAATCTACTGCGCAGAGACCTCGCTGATTTGATAGTTTTAGTTTGATCGTGTGGCCTAGGTTTGCTGCACCTACCTTTACTCTATTTCCCTTCAGTAAGACTTAAATCATTTCTGAATAAGTACAAAGTTTTCTTCTGTTTCAAGACTAGGACGCACGACTGTTGCTTTATTCGTCATTTTCTTTTCCCAGGATATAGTCCTGATAAAAGTTATTCCGTTGGAAAAGTATATAAAGTTACATTGACATATAGAAAATACAACTAAAACTTACAACTAACTTACGAGTAAAACTTTTGAAAATGCCAGATATGGTGCGGAGAGAAGTTAATTGTAGTAGCTAGGCAAAGTTCTTTTGTTCATGTAATGAATAGCAAACTTTTGTCATTCAATTCACGAATAAGTTAGACTTCGATTCTGCCAAATGATGAAAAATCACCTTTGATGTAAATCAATTTTCCTGGTGAAAATGCCAAATCCTATTAAGTTGTTTACCCAATTTTTTTGAGATTGTATGTCATTTACGTTTGTTCAGCGGAGCGTTGAGAATAGCCATAATTGATGAAAAATTGCGTTTTATTGAATCCAGAATCCGCATAGATTTTTATACCGTGCTAAATTTTTTCATTTATTTTTTAGTCCTCTTAATCTTCACTTAAGTTAAAATTGCAACCGTTAATGCTAATAACCGATTTCTCCTCAGCTTTTCTAGAACAGATCCCAGCATCCTTGCATAGTCTCGCATTTCGGGAAAGAACCTCGAGAGTCAGAATTGCTGAAATTGTAATTCTCTTAATATATAAAATGTTCATCAACATAATATTATGTTCTACTTACGGTTAATTATTCAAATGTCCACAAATTAAAGTACCAATTATGGAAATAGGTTTTTTGAAGACCCTTACACCCAGAGAAATTACGATTGACACCTATTACCTAATGATTTGAAATGCTGGGAAAAGCTAATTTCTCCGAGAAATTATCATATGCCCAAATTTGGGCGGTAATGCTGGCCCATTTCACACAACTATAAGCTAAAGTGAAGTTTTTCAAGAGAAGTTTTTTAACAATTATGACGTTCTGCAATGCTCGCGCTCTACTATTTGTGACCTCCTCGCCCTTATTTTGCCTCATTTAGTTTACGCTAATGTGCGGCAGTGCACGCAAGATCATGTCCCGGGTCATCATCTCATAACCACCGTTCGGGTATCATTTGTGTGGCCAGGAGTTAACAAGGTGTAACACCTCTCTCGCCAGTGTTGCCTCTCTCGTTCAGGACATAAATGTTAGGTCGATGGCTCTTTTACTCGACTGGTCCGTAAAAGAAGAGAATAACCTGAGGTTTAGTGAAAGTACACTTGTTTAAGAGTGTCAGGTCAGAGGATGAAAAATTGCAGTTGTTTGAGAAAGTTGTAAGAGAATCTCTTTGGCTAGTGTAGGGGCTTAATAAAAATGAAAAAAGAGCCGGCTTTGGAAATAATGAGGTATTTTACTTAAAATCCATTGCCGGAAATCCGCGTTAGAAAATTGTATTTACTCTTAAAATATTAATTTCAATGAGTCAAAGTTTATTTTTTTTTTTATTTCTGTGCAATTAAAATCACTATCTTGGGAAGATCAATATTAATCCGTGTTTATTATGGATTGGTTTTCCTCCTACTGTCGTTAAAAGTTCTGACTTTGGGCAGTGAGAAAACCTGTTCCGTGTTGGTGATCAGTCCATCTAATAATGCGGGTTTTAATTATTCCTCTCAAAAATTGAATCTCGTGACTGAACATAGGCGCGTATTATTAATTTAAGGAAGAGCTGTTATGTACTAACAGGTAGAATTTGACTTCGCAAACTCTTAAATTACACGGGGGAAGAAAACAGCATCGTCACTTGCATTTGAGGAGTGAAATCAGCCTAGAGCGTGAAATCAGGCCCTCTCATATCAAGAGGTATATAATTTGTCACAATGACATTCTTTACTTTCAAAGCTTGCAACACATTTCAAAGCATCTCCTGGTAAAAAACACTCATTCCTAAGGGAAAACCTATTTAATCTATTGCTTCGGCCACATAAAGCACAGACCTCAAAATAAGAGTAAGTTTCCACTTAAGATTAATATCTGTTTCTCAAAACGCCTCCTGCGTCCTTATCTAATTGCTAGCAAAAACACAATAGTTTCCAATAAACCAGGCACCAATGCGCAATGCAGAAAAATCGATAATCCGGAGTGACAGCTGTGAAACTTGCCGAGAAAAGCGTGGAAATGACGAGAAGCACCTACAAAACGCAGTTCGATTTTTCACGTGCCGATTATCGACCGATGTAGTGCCAAAGCCACCTGCCAGATAGCGCCCCGAGTTAAGTCCCTATCCACATACTTCCCAAAGAAACTCACTGATTTTTCGCGGCAACTTGGTGCCCGGGTTGCTCCTTGCCAACGCTGAAGATTGGAGGCAGCATGGGGAACAGTTAATCCCGTAGAGAGAGATGAATAGGTGCGGTGCTGGTGCATTCCTTGTGGTTATTTTAACCTAGTTCCCATTTACGGCATCCGTGTCTATGATTTTCGCGCAATTTTATATCACGAGAACGGCGAAGTGGGTTTTTGTTAAAAGAATTCGTTTGAGCCCAAGAAGATGAGACGAGTGTGAATCCTAACACATCAAAAATTCGATGAATCATGATTGACCCAGTAGTGAACAATTTGCCACTCCGGGATAATTTTGAAGGGGGATAGGAGCGGATTTTTATATATCTTAATTTCTTGACATGGAATTTTGTTTCTTTTTCCTTTTTTTACAAAACCAGTCGTTTTATTGTGCTACGATGCCATCGTTTTTCCTACAGAACCTATAAATGAATTAGTTGCTCGCATGACAGAATCATCTTTTGATGGTAGAATAGATTGATAAAAAAAATAGTACCTATCATTGTAGCTTCAACTTTCTACATCAAGTGATCACGCGAAAGGAGCCCTCTGAAAGTATGGTGGATGACGTCATCTATAACATTATGATGACATCATCACTCACGCCTCTGATCTGCTTTGCTGAAACCTTAGTAAAATTCTAAAAGTACGAAACTGCGATTTTTGAGCCAAATTCCATTTTTTTCATAGTTTATAGCATTCAAAAATGGAAAGAAGTTTTACGATGAATTTGAATGACCCATTCTACACATCCATCTTTTCTCTAAACTTTAAATTTTGCACAAACCTGGGACATGATTTAACGCGTAAATAAGAAGAATACCCATCTAACCTCCACCTTATTCATATTTCACGAACCGAACCGAAACAAACCTAACTGATCACGAAAAAAACCGTCAAGCTAATTTTCGGCGCTGGGGTCGTTCCTCCTTTTCCACAGCTCCGTACGGTCTTATTCTTGACAAACCAGGCGTGCCATTATAACAAGAAAGAATAATTATGCTGAGAGGAAATTTGTGTATGTTGCATAAGATATTCTTGTAAAAAGTTGACTATTTTGATTTATTTCAATGAATGCTTGTATTATTTAAGTAGAAGTTAAATTTAACCCATGAAATCCCCACAATGGGATTTTTAACAATTGTGGAGAAAGGATACCAACATTATTTATTGAAATTTCAATGATCTGTTTAAACTGTTAGCGTATTTAATAATTTCCCACCTACAGATTTACACCACCAACAATTTTTTGCCATCACTCTATCTCTGATATTTGATATTTGAAATTCAAAAATTGGTACTTAATCTGCTCGATAGATTTTAATACTATTTCCGAGTAGGAAATCGACTTCTCTTGAGAAATCCTATTATTTATACCTCAAATTTGTCGTAGTATAATCTTCAGTGCTCAGCACAAACGAATCTATGACTCTGCACATTCAGAGATCGTAGCTTGATTTGAATTGGTACCTTCTGTGAAGATTTACTGCACTTCCTCTATTTAAGATTAAGATAATAATTTATTCCTCCGCAGTCTTTTAAGTTAGATTAAGTTTTCAAACATCGCATTCTTGAATTGTTTGCATTGAAAGTTTGAACCTTTTGCGAATTGAATAATTTATTTATCTAATTTATTTCCTAGCATTCGTAAAATTGTAAATATCTGTGTATAAATATGAATGATAATAATAAAGTATGCTTACTGTTTAACTTACTTGGATACTTGATATTTTTAATCCACGTCTTACTACCTTGTAGAATTTTCCTGCAAAAAAGAAAAGGGAAAAAAATCGAACCCAGAAGAATTGAAATTATTACTATACCTTGATATTATCCCTCGATGACGAAGAAAATTAACCAAAATGAACTTTTAAAGGGTCATATAATGTTTTGGTTGTTAACAATGTCCAGAATTCATCACCCGTTTGACACACACAAGGGAGTAAGGATCTCAATTTCCCGTGAGCCCTGTTTCTCATGTAAATCCATGCTTCCTGGGGCTCACGCGGTAACAGATACACGCGTATATGCCAAAGAAGCGACGAATTATCCGAAGAGTGAAAAATTAAAACCTGAAAAGCACTATCAAGTGTTGTTGAGATTGTAAAACAAATTTTCGTATTTAAAAGTAATTGAGTGGCCTGAATATTGCAATTCTTGTGGTGAAAATGAGACACTAGACTATAGACTTAGTAAAAATGTTTTTAAAAAAACCTCCTAGAGCGAAAACATGTAAATTATTTTACCGCGAAAAACGCCGTGTTCAATATTAGCAACGCATGATGGTACGAACTTACCGAGTTCTGAATTTCCACTTATCAACTGTTTTGGATATTTGCAAAAAACGAGTTCATTTATTGTTTATTTTTCTGAAGTTCTTTCTTCGTTTTGATAACACTAAACGGCCATACTTTTTCCCTGTTAAAAATGTCCCATGTGCAATATCCAGAAAAATTCCCATGGGGGCACATGGTAATTTGGGACGCGAATTACTCAGGGGTGCACATGGGAATGGGGTCTCCCCATGGGGGCCCATGGGAACAAGGTCTCCCCATGAGGGCCCATGGGAACGAGATCTCCCCATGGGGGCCCATGGGAACGAGGTCTCCCCATGGGGGCATATGGGAATGACGTATCCCCATGGGGGCACATGATATTCAGGCCTATGAAAAACCACGGTTCTCCAGAGAGACAACAATTTTCATGGGGTATCATGAGAAGTGCGATTCCCGCAGAGGCCAATTCAACATGTGCCCCTATGGACATTTGGATGTATTTCTGCCAAACAAAACTAGGTGCATTATGACGTGAGCTCTGTTATGCAATAAGTCTTATGGGTCTCAGGGCTTATGTCTTAATGCACATAGTTCCTATTGGCAAAAATACGTCAAATTTTTTTTTTTAGTTTAAAATGAAAGGAATCATGTTGAAATTTCTATGAAATGTATTATAAAAAAGTACAGCAAAATGAAATTGGAAACTTCTTTTACAAAATTATTAAAATTTAATAGGTATTATAATATTTGAAAAATCTTTTCTTGTGGAGAACATCACCTATGTTGGGTGCTATGAACTATTTTAAGAAACTAAAGTTTGATACGTACAAAAGAGTAGTCGCTAAAGTACCCAACTTTCCTACTTAGCTTTCTTCCTGAACGGCTTCCAATGTTTCTTTATTAACTGCTTCTGATGTTTCTTCCTTAACTGCTTCNATGTGTATAATATGTACAGGTTTAAAATAAACTGTAAAATAAAATAAACTGGTAATAAACTTAATAAATAACTAATAACTAAATAAAATAACTAAATATACTGTAAATAACTGTTTTTAAATAAATTTAAAATAAACTGTAAATTTGTTGTGAGCATAAGTATTGGTTTTGTTTTAAGTGTATATATGTGCGCCTAGCCGCCCAGGCTCTGTGGAAGCGGCCCCTTCATTATACCACTGTCATGACGTCTACCTGAATAGTCTCGTCTCTTCTTGTCGTCCGTTCCCACCAACTTAACATATACCTTCATGGATTTCATAAGGAAAAAAATTCTTACACTGAGTTTACCTTGGTAAAGACACAAATGTGCCTAAAAAATTAAGAAAATTTATGTTTCGATCAATCTACCCTTCTGAAAAAATTATGGAGCCTCCTAATTGCAAGGATTACTTGTTTATAAAGTTTCAAAATTACATGAAGCCGTATGGTGGAGAGAAAGTTTTAATTCGCTTTTTGATGCTTTAAAATTGGATTTTAGATTTTGATTCTTCTCAGAATTATTCTGACAGAATATATTATTCTAAGTTTATTTTAATAGTTGTAATCATTATATTCTGTAGATACGGCCCATAAATCAATTTTTCAAAAACTGCGCACTTTTATAGCGTGCTCCAAGCCCCCTTATTTGGACCGAGTTTATCTAGAAGAGAACCAACCCATACATCAAGTTTAAACTGAGAAAAAGAGGTTTGAAGTTTTATTCCTCCATAAGACACAATGTAAAAAAGGAAATCTCAACCCCTCTTTTTGCAAACTATTAAGTATATTATTTTTTCGACTTTGAGTTTTTGGCAGGATAAAATATGCATAACCATAGGAACTCTAAAATATTCTTAGGTAACTAATGTTTTTCGAAAATGTGGGGGTTGGTTCCTTTCTGATAAACTGTGTCCATTTTTGATGGAGTCAGGTAACATTGGACCTGCTGGTGAAAGTTCAGATTTTTCAGTATAACGAAAAGAACCTGCTCTGATTGATGCCCTCAAACTATAGATCGAATTTAGTTTTGATACTAAAAACTTTAAAGAACATCCAAAGTAGCATAGATTGCAATAAGTAGCAATTATAGAGGTATGAAAATTATTGCCAATTCCGCACTGAGTATATGTTGTGTATGTTGCCAAGTTCACATTTGAAGGGGCCCCATTTATTGAAACGCATTGCAATAAAATTAAAATGATCAGTAATTGCAATTTTTTACTGCACTGCATATTCATTTTTTTAACACATGGAGCTCATTTTATTGATTGTTTGAAATCGTCATAAATCGACTAAATGATGTAAAAATTGCGATTTGATGGTAAGAAAATTACAATTTTATTGAAATGATTTTGCTCTTTAATTTCAATATTTTCGTTGCACTGCGCTACTTGGGATTAAGGTCATTTCAATTAATAATACAAGAGAAGTAATAATTTTAGATTATACGCAAGTAATGTACATTTTATAATAAGCGTTTGAAATGATTTTTTCTATTAACCTCCAACAGCTGCACCGACTGGCAAACTTTAACTTTGTTTTTCTCAAACTCTCAACTTAATATATATTTTATTGAGATCGCTATAACTTATTTAAATAAGTGGCTCTCAAAGGGTAGTATAATTTTTAAAGTTTTCTCGGGTGTTCTTTGTACCAAGTGATGCAGAATTAACTATAAGCTTTCACCTTTCCTGGGCACCCACACTTCCCCACGGGCGACCCGGTCTTGCTCACGGACGCCCAAGTCTTCCCCACGGGCACCCCGGGTCCCCATGGGCACCACGGTCCTCCCCATGAGCACCCCGGTCCTCCTCATGGGCACCGCGGTCCTCCTCATGGGCACCCCGGTCCTCCTCATGGGCACCCCGATCCTCCCCATGGGCACCCCGATCCTGCCCATGGGCACCCCGGTCCTGCCCATGGGCACCCCGGTCCTGCCCATGGGCACCCCGGTCCTGCCCATGGGCACCCCAATCCTACCCATGGGCACCCATGAGTCCCCATGAAATTCACATGAGCCCCCATGAAATTCTCATGGGCCCCCATGAAATTTTCATGCGGACACATGGGACATTTTTAACAGGGTTAAAATTTTAACGAGATACTTTTGATTTTTGTAAGTTCAAATTTTGAGCCGAGGATTTGCCTTGATCCTGATACAGCCTTGTGATCCAACTATCGTGCTACATGAACACTCATCGAATGTCATTATAATGAAACACATGTCAGACACGGAGAAAGCACTTGGAATATTGCCAACCTTATTAAGCCCGATCCCCAATTTTATCTTGTCAATGCCGATCACACCCAGACACGCGAATCTCTATTTAACCGTATAACGCACAAATAACGACTGACGGTTACAAAAACTTGTCTATCTCAGTGGTTCACTATATGCTCTTCATCTACTGCATGTTCGTTTTCTGGAGTGATTGAAAGTTTTGTGCGAAGTTGTAATTGAGGATTCATACAAAATTAACATGTAATTAATTGTATTAACATTCATTGCATAAATACATTCTTTATTCAGAGCAAAACTGGGAACTTGTATACGCTTTTGTTAAGTGTAGACCTCGTGCTTCCTTCTAAAATTTGTGAAACGAGTATCCCCAAAAATTATCTAATTGTTTTCGGATCTCCTCATCCCCCCCCCCCACAATCTATGATAAGGCACAAATAATTATGACAAAGTCAAACACTTGTAAGGGTAAGGGCATACTATGTGTAATATGTAGAATTCCAAAAACTTATGCTCAGAATGTTTCGTTTCTCCTAATCAAAGTTTGTCTCCCTATACCTCTCTTTACTATTAAAAACTAATGAAAATTTAGGCTTTAATTTGGCCTAATTTCTTCAGATGAATATTCATTACTTACCGCTAAAGATTTACCGCTTAAAGATTTAATGTTTGGATATGCAAAAATTGAACTACTTGCGGTCAATAAGGACGAATCTACTTACTTCAGGGTTCGTTGAGGGATGAAAATTTAAGAAAGGTTTTAAAAGAATAAAAGTTTTGTGACAAGATTAATAACTGAAATTCTTGGAGATGAATCCCCTCACCTCTTGTCCGGACATTTTCTCTTATTTAGTACTCTCTCTGAGTCCGTTATGAATATATTGACACTTCTCAATTATTAAAATGACAATGATCAATCGTAAAAATGTGATAAAAATCAGCATGACTTTGGGAATCATCGGTGTCATTACTGCTGTATTCGTTCATTTTTACGGACTACCAGCTCTCACGAAGTTTATTGTGTTGAAAGTAAGTATGGAACATTAATTAAGAATTATTTTGCTAAGATTGGCAGATAAGCGAAATTCGTATGCACCATACCGATCGACGACCAGTGTTGTTACTATAATGCTCCTGCCTAGCAAAATACTTTTTTGCGATATTCTCCGTTCACGCATAAAATGTTAAAATAAAGTTCCGTTTAGTAAGCCCTCATTACTAACTGAAAGAATTGAAAATATAACCGGGAGAGATTCTGTGAGCCCGTAAACACATGACCATAAAAGTTCCTAGACAGCTAATTTTCGAATTATAAACCCCTGGACTAGAATGGCAAAAACATTATTAACCTGTGTGAACTCCTGCCCAAATCCATGAATTTCGGACGAAGGGTTGTCAAAAGCTCACCGAAAAGAGTGCCTTTGTCACATTCTCCATAGTATCTTCAAAAAACGCCCTTTCAATTTTACAAGCCAAAAGTGTGAACGAGAAAGCCTGCCAGAGAAACTTTGTTAGTGTAATTTGACTGCAATACACATCTGAATTTTATGATGAAAAGTCTGCGTGAAATGAAAAAATGTATCTTTAAAAATAATTGAAGCAGTTAGCCTCTAAGAAGCACAAGGTCACCGAATCCAAAGTTCAAAGAACCGTAAAAAAATTGTAATTTTTTTTGCATGGTGAACCATAAACCAAGCGGTGTTCTGATCTGAACTTTTAATGTCAGCTTGACACCAATTTGAGTGAGCCTAATAACAAAGGTCGGATTGATGTTAAATCCTTTACAGTTTGTCAAGAAAGAACATTTTGGGGGAAATTTTAAACTATGTATCAAATTCCCAAAACACAGACACTTCTACGAGGATGTTAGAGGGTGCCAAGGCTTTTAAGCAAAAACCGAGCACGGGCACCGAAACCGCAAAAGAGGCTTTTAATGTGAAGTAAAGTATTTGCGAGTGAATAAAAAAAAGAAAACGCAAAAAATGTATGCTGTTTTCCAATGTCTTATCTTTACACGTACAATCATGCTGCTTGTTATGAAAGAGATTTGTCACTTAAAAACTGCATTCTAGGGAAGGACGTTTTTTTAAAAATATGCTAGGGGACGCCACGGCGCTTCACTCTTTTTTTTCTAATTGTGTGCTTTCTTCTTTTTATCAGTTATAGTGAGCTGAACTAGAAACAAAACCAACTCAGATAAAAAGTTGCTAAACAACATTAATTACAATTCAGAACTTACTTAAAATGCTAATAAATAATAATTTGTTTTCATCTGCTTAAAATAGATAATGGCCTATTTTAGTTGCATTTTTCTTTAAGCTATCACTGGGGGGGGAAAAACACATTGGATCTACAGTCCAGACTCTTGAAAACGTTGACAAGAAAAAGGACTCTTGATTCAATCAGATTTAAGCTTAAATCAAAATGAAATCCGCTCAAATTAAGAGGCTTTGTTCTTGATTTAAGCTTAAATCTGATTGAATCAAGAGTATTTTTTCTTGTCGATGTTTTTAAGAGACTGGAATCCAGATCAAATGTGTTTTTTTTTCCAGTGTATGATTTTTGATTACCGCACTCAAAGCACTAAAGCTCGGGCGAAAAATTAATTTCAGGCGACGCTGCTGACTGAGGGGACGACGCGATGGGAGAAGTGGGTCACAATTCCATTTCCTCTCCATTTCAAGGTGTACATTTTCAATGTCACGAACCCGGGCGAGGTGGAGCAGGGGGCCAAGCCGGTGCTCGCCGAAATGGGGCCGTACGTCTACGAGTGAGTGGTCTAAAGTTCACTGCAACCTAAAACGCCGACGCCGACGCGATGATCCCGAGTGAATGGATTCTGCACTGTAATGCACTCCCCGCCCGAGAAAGGGGGCCTCTATCAATTACTATGAGGCCGGGACAAGTGCACAATCGTCTTCGTCAAAAACCCCTCATCTCCATCGGGTTCCCGTTTCAGATGCGCGGTTCTTACGGAAAGCGCTGCCGTCATTGGCCATGCGCGTTTGCGAGTACACAGAACGGAAGCCGAAATGACCCAACATAGAGCTTTCCTCGTGGGATAGTCGGCCTTCCTTCGCAGCATTTCCCCATGGGCAATGAAAATGATGATAGTCGCGGTCTGAGAGGAAGAGTTAATGCTTGTGGGGTCCATTTGAACTGGGGCGCTTTTAGTTTGCCAATTTAGGAATAAAAGCAAAGCTTGTTTCACTTTCATTAATGGCAACGTATTTCGCTCGCACTGAGAGAACCTGGGGAAAGGGATTCTGAAGAAAGGGGGGGGGGATCTACGTGCATTAGTATTCTAATTTGAATTGGCTCTTTTTAGACACTCTTTACTGCCTGCAAAGGAACCTCCTTCGCGTTGGATGTGTTCACTTCATTCTGTACCATTATTCCATGCTTTGTTTTCAATATTCAACGATATAAAGATCATCCTGTGATCATGTTATTTCTAAATTTTTCAACTTTTGGAAAAAACAGATTCGGGTAACCAAAATTTAACTCAGCTTCGTATCGAATTTATTTAAATAGTATGTAGCCTATGTAATATATCGATGGTGAAACTGACAAGATGCGTATCTCGGTTTGCGGCATTGTATATTTCCTGTCATACTTAATTTTCTACATATGTATAAGCACTAACCGTAATTTTTTTTAAAACTTTTGTGATTTTTCCTCTTTACGTTGAGATTATTCTTTGAAAATTTTAGGTCATAATTTGCAAGTAGGTAAAGTAAAATTTCTTTACTATAGGATCAGAACTATATCTTCACTAAAATTAGACAAGTGGATACACTATTCAATGGTTCAATAATTGAGTAATCATCTCTGTAAGTCGTTGACATAATTGCTTTTTAATCAATTCAATCTTTCTTTCAAATATAGTCAGTATCTGAAAAAACACAATGTGACAGTCGAAGGAGATACCATATCGTACAATATGGAGCGTATACTGAAATTCAACCAAGCTGAATCTGGGCCGGAAAGGACTGAGGACGATATCATCACAACGATCAATTTAGCTTTTTTGGTAATTCATGAGATATGATACATGTTTCATTGTCGTTCGTAACGTAACGTCAAGTGACGTGTTTAAAAAGTAATTAACAAGCTTAAAATTAGGTTCACAACTAACGGGAGTCTTTATGAGATCTTAGCTTTGTTTAACAATATAGACAGTGTCATATTAGTGATTAATTATCATTCAGGTGCTTATCATAAGCATATATTGGTGGCCAAAAAGCGAAACCATGTATCTCCATTTGTGACGTTACAGACTCCAGTCATATTTTATTTTTTATTGACTTTTCTTCTCAGTCAGCGGAATATTCTGTATAAATTTTAAACTTTAAAAATGGCTTGTTTCTCTTCGAAAACTCAACTGGGGACGGAAAGGAACTTTTGAAACATCGCATTATGGAAATACGGGGTTTCACATTTTGGCCATCGTAATCGATATATTTGACAAAAAAACCTTAAAGAAACTGTTCGATGCACCATGAGTGATTTCATAAAACCAGTATCTTGAAGTATTTTATCTCTTTTAATAGTCACCATTAAAAAGTGTTCATTCAAGAAATCGATCTTACCTTACACTAATTTATGACCTGCCAGCGGCCAATTCGGCAAATCGAGGATTAAGTGTTTCGCACGAAAACTACGGAACTTTAGGCGCGTCTGGACGCCGGCGGAAAATGCTGCTACCGAGTGGAGGGCGAGAAGACGCTCACATTTTGGAGCACGGCACCTTAGGAGCGGAATCCGTGGATTTTTTCCGCTCAGTCCGCCGTCAATTTCTCGAATTTTCGTTGATCGGACAGTATGCTCTGGGCCGCGAAAATGGCTGTACGCGCTTTTTTTTAGGAGGGTGTGGATTCGATCGACAAAAATCGACCGAAAAATAAAAACGTGAATCGATCGACACCAATCGATGGACAAATTACTAAAAAACGGGTGTCGATTCGATCGACAAAAAATGTGGATCGATAGACGAGAAATGATTGACAATTAAAAGGAAAACCGGTATCTAGTCAATCGACATGAATCGATCGAAAAACCAAAACGTGAACCAATCGACGTAATTCGATCGATTCACAACTTGGGCGATCGATTCACGGGTTTGTCGATCAACTCACAGGTTTGTCGATCGACTCATAGGTTTTTCGATCGATTCACAGGTTTGTCGATAGACTCACAGGTTTGTCGATTTATCCACGGCTTCTGTCGATTGATTCACGGGTGGGTCGGTCGATCTACGGCTCTTGTCGATCGATTCACGGAATTTTCGATCGATTCGCGGCTTTTGTCGATCAATTCACGGCCTTTGTGATCGATTCGTGGGTTTGTCGAACTAAACACATTCAAAAATCGGTAGGAAAGGCAGCGGACTGAGCGGAATTTCTCGGCGTCTTCGCTCCGATCTGTTCACGACAGATCGGAGCGTCCTCGATCGGCGTTTTCCGCAGCGTCTCTTCGCCGCTAAGGTGCCGTCCCCGCGCAAAAATCATTAGACAGATTTATCGGCGTCTGGACGCCGCGTCCAGGACGCCGCGTCCAGACGCGCCTAAGGTTCCGTAGTCTCGAAATTAGAATGCGCGTTTAGCTCTATAAGTAATTGAGAGAATGTTCTAATTATGAGGGCTTGATTGCATTTTTGAAGGGGACAGCTCTGCACTTGGAAAGCAAGATGCCAATGGCCCTGTCTATCTTGAGCGACGCTGCGCCGAAGATGTTCCCGGAGAACGAGGTACTATTCCGAACATCCACCGTCAAGCAGTTCTTGTTCGAGGGTGTCCCGATAAACTGCTCCCTTTCGAATGGACCTGCAGTTATGATTTGCAACGGACTCAAAGCCATCAAACCGGCCACCATTAGACTGGCAGAAAACTCAAGCGACATGCTGTTCTCTTTTTTGCATCATGTAAGTTACTCCTCGCCAGTTTATGAGTTGCTTTCCGTGCAAAAAATGTCCGAAAAGAAGCAGTTGGAAGTTGTTTTGAAAGTTTGAAACACTACGACGAATATGGGTACGAAAAAAGTTAGGATTGCTCAGTAGCCTATGAATTGAATTTCAAAATTTCAGCAAAGCTCATAGTTTTATTTCTTTTTTTTTATGAATACGAAAACCGTATTTATTATTTAGATATTACAGAAAGGCATAGTATTGACAGAAATATTTTATGTGCAAGCGGGTTATCAATATTATGTTTTTTCCTAAAAACCTAGCTGTACTTACCAAAATTATAGACTGCCTGCATATAGAAATACTTCTTATAATTTGATCAAGTACTCGAAAAAAGGTAAAATGCTCATATTTGTGTTTCTCCCGGGTGAATGTGCCATTTTTCGATGATATCACTATTTGACCACGTAGGAGCTTGTGTTGCCTATTCTAAAAATTGAAGGAAAACTGGCATGACGTTAATTTAATATTTCCCCGTTTGGTAAAAAGACAGTTTTGGATGTTTCGAGTGGTTTTGAACTGTGAAAAACGTTGAATGAGTTGACGTGAACGTGATTCTAAGACAAGTTAAAATGCCTACAACGAATTCGTAGACAGAGGCCATCGGGCGATTATATGGGGGATTACAAAGTGGCACAGTCTTCACAGCTAAACTTAAAATTAGCTGTGGTATGCATGGCCAGAAGTTATGTAAGTAACTTGTTTATTATCATCGTCTTGTTTTTGCAGAAAAATGCAACCCTCTCCCGTCGTTACAATGTGAGTAGCGGTTTAGAAAACTTCAAGAACATTGGCCAAATTCTCTCATACGACGACAAGGACAGCAATTCTGTTTGGCTCAGTGAAGATTGTAACAAAATTCACGGAACCGACACAAACATCTTCCATTCCCTTGTTTCCAGAGACGAACACTTATTTGTTTATGATCCCGATATGTGCAGGTTTGTACGTAAAATAATATATTTTTTTTCATAATGCAAATTCCACCTTCACGAGAAAATTCTTCTCATTAGCTACAGCCAAGTAGAAAGTAGGCACGGAGGAACAAAAGGTCAGCTGAGGAAGGCTTTTCTTGTGAAATATCTAATCTGCAATTAAGGATGGCATTATGCAAAATTCACAATGTATACGTTCTTCTACATGTTTCCCAGAGTGGTCTCGTGACGTCAACAAAGACTCTATGTTTATTATAAAAAAAATGTACGTGCAACTCAAAAACCGTCAATCTAATGTTGGATTCTTCAATGGAACAGTGGAATCATTTCCCTCTTTAGAGAACAGATGATTTCATTTCGTTCAACGTTATCCGTACCGCGAATGCAAATACTCGCACGAATATAGACTTACAAAATAAATATTAAATATGAAAAAGTATAAATAACGCACCCAAAACTAACGCCCCAAACTCATTCAATCAATTTTATGCATGCATACATAATTGAGTGATCAGGTTTTCTTTTGCTGTTCTCTAATTCTCACACCAACATTACAATGTCAGTGCGAGCTTTTATACTCAGGAATATCAGCATGATAACACATCATTGAAATTCAACACCAGAGCTCCTGAAAATTTTCTCCAAAATGCGCAACAAATTCATCAAACATGACAATCTTTTACTGTATACCTACTCCGTAAAATCATATCTTCTTCTGCTACCGACCATATTCGGAAGAAAAAGAAGTGTTTGATCCGCGGGTCATTCTTCAAGAGGAAAATATTTATAAAAAGTACAACGGATCATTTGCTTCCATTTTCCATTGAATCAGACTTTACATGTATTGTGACGCACAATTTTCATTTAATTCCTTCATTTCTGTTGGCAGAACAATGTTTATCGAATTTGAGCGGGACACAGAAGTTAAATCTCTCCCCGCTTACAAATTCGTTCTTCCAGTAGAAAATGTAGCAGATTTCAAGACAGTAGCAGAAAATAAGTGTTACTGTTCGCAAGGCAAAGATCCGCAAAAACCGAGGTGCTTCAAGAAAGGTGTATTTAACCCAGCACCTTGCACAAGTAGGTAGATATCGATTGCTTTATATTATCTGTACGTCTCCTCATGTTATATGTATTAAAGGGCACTTCGTCCGCCTTCAATTTCTGTCGCAGGCAAATTCTACTACTCGGAAGTTGATTAAGTTGTATGCTGTATCTTTGAAGTGGATTGCTAAAGTGTTCGGTCAAAATTGTTGCCATCAAAACAACATCTTACATTGTGGCATCTTCATAATGATAGTCATCGTTACTGAAAAAAGGTTACTTAATTTGAGCAAAATATTCTTGAATGCAGTAATCCTTTTGAATCAAAGATAATGTGGGTTCTTAACATAAGTCACTTTTATCTTCATGTAAACATATTCTTTTCTTGTCGAGAGCATTTTTCTTTTTCAATCGGGAGCAAATCCGATCGGTGGCAAATTCAAGAATGATTCTACTGCTTTATCATTTCAATTTTGCTCAGTGCGTTAGCTTTGATGATATGTCTTACGATCAGCCTTTTCAGAGCATTGCCTCGTCCGCGGTGAATGTATAAAGTTCATTGAGGCAATGCAAATTGTTATTTTTAAACCGATTTAATTGAAATTTTTAATATTCATACATTTCTAAGTGAGCCCTGAATTTGTTTTCATTATTATTTTGGGTTTTTTTATTTCTTTTTATTTTTGCGTGATCTTGGAATGGACAAATTACCTATCTAACCTGGCGACCGCCATACCACATCAGTTTGAATATTCAACGGATACCGTAATAGGTTTTGAACGTATTTAAATGTTAAGAATTTACCAACATTAGATTTTCAGATATTTCCCAATAATAAAAGTGGAGAACGCTGCTTGAAAAGTGACTCTCACAACACTACTTCTTTAAATGCACTTAAAATTCTGAATTTGTCATGCATGCGTATGGTTCCAGATCAGCCGACCGTTATATCGTTTCCTCATTTTTACGGTGGTGACTGTGAATATATCAGTTTCGTGGAAGGGTTGAGCCCTCAAAAAGAGCTTCATGAGACATTTGTCAATATTGAACCGGTGAGTATTGTGATTTTTTAATGAGAGTACTTGAAATTAACTGTATAAATTAAAATACATACGAACACCTTGATGGTCAATTCTTTACCATGGCCTAAAACGAGGAAATATCAATAATCGATTATTCATGACTCGCTACTAATTACAATTATTGTTCCCTCTTTTAATATTTTTCCACCTAGTTAAATAACAATCAAAACTTCAAATGTTTTACAAAGCACTTTGTTGTGTCCTTGTATTTGGCAAAAAAAAGTTCCAAAAAGCGTTTGTTATCGAGGAACTGTTACTTCGTAAATAGACCCCATCACTCTTTTCGCAGAATCGCTGTCAGTTCTTTTTGACTTAGGATCGATTAGATTCAATCTGATCGATTTCAATGGTCAAAGCAGCGGGTCGATTGTTGAATCATTTATCGAATGATCCTGATCGATAAATCCCTATCTTAGCAATGCTTTTAATCGGTCATGGTCGTTCGATATCGATTCAATAAATGATCCTGATCGATAAATATCTATCTTAGCAATGCTTTTAATCGATCATGGTCGTTCGATATCGATTCTACAAATGCTCCTGATCGATTAATCCGTATCTCAGCAATGCTTTTTATCGATCATGATCATTCGATATCGATTCAACAAATAAGCCTGATCAATATATACCTATCTCAGCAATGCTTTTTATCGATCATAATCGTTCGATATCGATTCAACAATCGAGCTGCAATATTAGTAAGCGTGATATTTATTTTTTCAGGTTACGGGTATTCCGTTGAATGGAGCCAAACGAATACAGTTTAACATGCCATTTGGACCAATTACGAAAATCTCTGCCCTGGGAAATACAACGCGGGGGATTTTTCCTGTGCTTTGGATTGATGACGTAAGTCAAAAATACGTTTAAATGAATGTAGTATTGGTAGCGTGTATGAAAGTAAGTGAAAAAAAACATTAAGAAGTGGCTCGAACTGTATGTAACAAGGTATGAAATGGTGTGAACCCAGTACCATTTCTCCACCTTGTTATATGTATGAAAGTAAGTGAAGCTCAAAAATGCGCATATTTCTAACACAGATTGTGCAGTTAGAAGTAAATTTCTGGCCTTTTCTATACTTTTATCGTGATTTCATAGTTATTCGCAATACAAAACAGTTTGTCAAATTAACTATTAGACAAGATACAAATTTAAGTATTCTCATATTATGTTTATATCGATTTTTGCTAAAACCGCCTACAGGCGTTAAAAGACCTAACAAAAAGTGTGTTCACGATCTAATTTGTTTCATCCCCGCATGAAATTAATCAATGCTATTTTCCAAAGATCTGCACACATCCTTTCTTCTGTCCTTGTTCAATTACGAAGCACATGCGAGATGATCTTTGAGATTTAAAATTCTCTATCTTTTCTACTTCCGCGTTAAAGTCTCCTTGTCATAGCGCACAGTTTTTACGACGAACCAGTCTGCAAGGTACAAATTTAAGCATTCTGATGCATGCATTCTAACCCAAATTTTACACAAAACCCGATTTCCGCATCAAAAATTACTGAATTGAACTTCTTACCAAGATATCTTGTGTATTTTGATGCGTTAATTCAAACTTCTCACTCATAAAGAAACAAAACTCTACGAGCGTCAAATCGCGCACTTAGTGTTGGGGAAATAGTTTTTGCGGCATGAAAAAATGACAACTTCAATCTAGGCGCTTCGGCTCAATCGTTGCAAGTTGTTTTAATCGTAAAATACACAGGGTAAAGAACGAACTCTGCTTGATTTAGAGGCCTGCTACAACCGTTATAGTACGCAATATGACTCAAGGAGAATATTGTTTTCTTTTGACCGGGCTATTTAAATTTCCCGTCATTAATGTAAATTAAAAACGTTAATATCTTAGTTAGGAATTGATTTCAGCAATTTTCGTTGCGCTAATCGTGTTCTACGTAAAATCCTGATCAAGGAACACGTATCAAAAAGCATGAACTCGTACCCTTGTCTATTGGTCTTTTCATCAGTTTCCATTCCAGACCAGTAGCAACCTAGTATAATATAATCCCATGCATGAAAAAACATTTCCAGTGATTGCTGCATGACCTCCATAATGATGCCGTGCTAAGGAAGAACGCCGTATGAACATTTGAGAGTTGCCAAATTTCCTTTGATAAAATGTTTATTTTTGAGGAAAATTAAGAATGTTTTTCCTTGAAATTTTCAGGAACTTCAGATCAAATTACAAACAATATTCTCTGAAAAATTGGAAGAAAAATATTCATAAGTTTACCAGGGAATTCGTGTTTTATCGAGGAAAATTTGGCAACGCCTGAAGGCTCATACGACGTTTTTCCTTAGCACGGCAGAATGGTTGATAATGTTTCAGGGAGCCGATCCGAACGACATAGTACTAACGCCGCTGCATGCGTTACAATTCGCGTTGAACTGGTTCCGTTTGGTCAACTGGGCATTGTTGGTGGTGAGCGTGGTCTGCGTCTTGCTCGTGCCGGCGGCGTTGGCGGTGGAGGAACGCGCCTGGTCCGGTCAACTGCGGCCCTTCGTCCGGCCCTTGGCGGCGCCCCCGAGCGGACGGCCCGACACCGGGGAAGCCCAGCCCCGGGCGCCGCCCCTCAAGTTCGCCGTCAACCGCGGCCGCCGCGACCCCTCCATCGACGCCATCTTCGGCGAACTCGTCACCGTTGACCCCGTCGCCTGGAGGACCGTCCGATGAGCCGGGAAGATCCACGGAGATGTTGTCAGATTTCTGACAGGAAAGGAATTACTAGGAGGCTTCGCGGGCATTCCCCAGAGGAGACCCTCTAAGGCCTGTTTCACGCGCCCCGAGTAAATCTAAATCAAGCTAGCTTTTTTAGAAACTATCTCCTGTCGATAGACGCACAAATTATGAAAATAAGCACGGTAGATCTTTTGAATAAACCGTGGCAAAAATGAACGTCTACGTTATTAAAATTTGAGGGTTCAAAACTTTAGTACGGTGTAAATATAAAAAAAACACTTGAGTTGTAGTTGTAATTTCGAAGTTGGAATAGAACAGGCTCATATAAGGACCTATCGGTAGCCGTAAAAATCATGAATGTTGGCCCAATAGAATGGTAGAACTAACTGTAGCGAAAAATTAACATTTGTATTCTTTAAGTGAGAGAATTCAGAATTTTATCGTGGTGCATAAGAAGAACTTGGGTTATATGTATTTCTAAAATCGAAAACAAGCACATACAAGGACTATCGCCTGTCTAAAGCCGCAAAAAGCATGACAATAGGCCTTCTAGAACGGTAGAATGAAATGTGACAAGAAATGAAAAACTAGGGGCCCACAAAGCTGAAAGCAATGATACGACTGGAGATAGTAAATTGAAACGAAGTAGTTAAATTTAGGCAAAATTGAGTGTTCAAATGTAGAGGGTCTATGTAAGGAGATGGGTGAGGTAAAAATGCTTCCTATCATCATTAATATAAACTTCGAAGGATTCTGCCTTTTTCTATTTCACTCGAGGGGAAGTGTCCCCTCCCGGACTCTCTTCCCCACCCGGTGACTGACGCTGCGCTGTGCTGAACGGTTCAGCCTGAACCTTTCCCCTACGTCTGACCGTTCCCCACTCCTCTGTCAATCGAACCATATGCCATCGTTTTCGTATTGTCGCTCGCCCACCCAGGTACCTAGCGGCCAGCGGTCAGTTGATGATAAATCTCGCTCATGCTTCTACGCAGCTACGCATTGATTACGCCAGCTAATTACTTTCGAATAATTAGAATTTCTTTGATAATAGTTTTCTTTATTTATTCGACTGTATTTTTTTCTCTGTTCTACTGTGATTCCTTGGTTCTCTACTGTGTTTTTCCTAAATCTCTTCGGTGTTTTTATTTTTTCGTGCTCATGCTCACACGCAGCTGAGCTTAGGTTACCGTGGCCAACTGTACGTAGGAATGAGTAGAGCAAGGCGAAGGGAAAACGTATGCCTGTTGACGAACCCCGACAGAATCCACAACGACGCCGTGGCAACTCGCAACATTGTTTATCCAGAATTATTATTGTGAAAAAAAGGAAATTTATATTAATACTTACACGGAGAAAAAAACTTCGTACATGGGACCCGACGTTGAGATCATATGAATCTCTTAAAACTTGAGGTCCAGCTGCCGAAATTCAGGTCAGATATCTGAGACACTTCGGTACGCACCGAGTACTTCAGATGTGTAACCTGAAACCTTCGGTATATATCGAACTACTTCAATTGTCTGACCCGAACTTTGGCAGATGGATCTTAACTTTTCGGATGCGTGATCCGAAAACTTCAGAGATCCATATGATCTCAGCTTCGGGTTCCATGCACAAATTTTTTTCTCCGTGTTTCCTTTTAGGGGACGCAACTAAAATTTCAGTAAATTTTTTNTAGAATGAAATGTGACAAGAAATGAAAAACTAGGGGCCCACAAAGCTGAAAGCAATGATACGACTGGAGATAGTAAATTGAAACGAAGTAGTTAAATTTAGGCAAAATTGAGTGTTCAAATGTAGAGGGTCTATGTAAGGAGATGGGTGAGGTAAAAATGCTTCCTATACAATTAATGTCCTCCTTGCTCTATAAGAAAACGAATAAAATTAGCTTTGCTTCACCAATCTACATGACTGTTGTTGAGGGCGGAAAGAATTTTATCATTTACGGATATCTTGCGAGCAGTCATCGGGTCACAAATTACGGAAGCGGTCTGTTAAGGCAAAATCGTGGTCCACCAGTTGACCTGGCGTGTGGATTCTGTACCCGACGTCTTTCTTTTTTTTCTCCGCGAACATTAATTTCGGACCTGTTTTCAGCATTTTAGATGATTTTACTGTCAAAATTAACGGTTCTGGAATTTACAAAACTCCTTTCAAATATATTTGTTTTTACATAAAATATAAATTTTAGAATGAAACCTTTTTCTTCCATTCTTACGTACTGTGGACAAAATAGCAATCGTTCCTCACATCTATGTACCTACAAGGCATAATAAACAAATGTGTACCTCATAGACGATGACCAAACATTGAAATTAAGACGTTTGCATTAGGGAAATGCCGGTATACTACCAGCTCTACTATAAGTTTCTGAAGAAGTAACATTAGTTGCCTATCTCCAAGGTTGAAGGAAAAACACACCGCTTCATCAATCAAATACGGTAAATTTTGATACAGTAAAAAATTGATTCACTGTGTGCACGTTGAAGGTTTCAATCAGAAGCGTCTCGACACTTGAGGACACAACCACCGCCATCCATTTTTTTCGCGAACCTCCAATTTCGAAAAATTATGCTTCAAAAATTGGTTTTACTGAGAAATAGCACCAAGGAATAAATAAATATCACAATTTTGAATCTCTCGCCCTCTTCCTCTTTTTTTTCTTTCTTTAGAAATATGTGCGATTACTGCCATGAAATAAACTAATGACGGAGCGTAACTTTTAAGAAAACTATACAAAACTCTGAAATATTTTCCATTCAATGCTTATTGAAACAATTTATTACTCATTGGCTGAACAGAAATGGGCTATTTACATCAAAAAAAAATTATCTCTACTATGACATGGGTCCTAGCATGCATTTATTTTTATGCGCCTCAAGGTTCACGCCACAGTGGAGATACTTTCTTTTGCTTTGAATATGTTTTCAAATTACAGACTACCCCGGCTGGTTTTAATACTCAAAGCATCATGGTCCAACATCGACTATCAAACCGTTCTAGAGAGTCCTGTAGAACCAACTTCAGTGACGAACATTGTGTATGATATCAAAATATATACGTATTTAGAATTGATCGAATATTCTCACAAAGTTGACAACGTTCATTGGCGGATCCACCAAATTTGCAACATTGTCTTTTCTCCGTTTAAACCTATGAAAATGTATCGATTCTTGGAGGGGCTAAGTGCTCCGATAAGAATCGATTGCTTAGCATAGGTTTAAATGGAGGAAATCCGGTGTTGCCAAATTGCTGGCTCCGCCTCTGACAACGTTCGGCTCACTTACAACACTGTCTTACAGCAGCAAATCGGCCTCGACTGAGAAGTGAGGATTCTAAAACTTCCCGATGCGAAATGGTTGAGCATCACGGGAATGTCGGGGAAACACCAGGAAATTCCCAAAGCTTGGGCGCGGCGCGGCAGCTCGTGATTGGGGCCAAATTCAGACGAATAGACTTTGGCCCTTTAGTACCTGAAATTAGGGCTGCAATTGCACTGTTGTAATTACTGTCAAGATGTTCTACAAGAATGTGTAATGATCTGAATAGGAGCCCAAAATCTGACACCGGGAGGGAATCGGTGATCGTTAGAATCTCTTGAAATATGTGCGCAACTATTTCGCTTTAAAATTCTAGCTGCATGCTTATGAAATTTTTTAAAAATGAGCCGTAAAAATGTGATACTAATGATATCGATATTGGCTCCAGTCGTCCTCACGTGAGGCTCCGGTGGCTTAAGTGCAAAACCACGTATCTCCATTGCGGTGTTTTAAAATCTCTGCTCCTATTTTATTATTTCGAGGAGGAACAAGTCAACTCTATCGCTTGAAATTTCTATGGAATATTCTGCTAATAGATATGAAAAATCAAGAAAGTTTCCAAGAAATTAAGTTGACTAGTTTTCCCAAGAAACAGTAGGTTCAGCAGGAAATCTACATTGTCTCAAACTGAGATACGTGATTTCAAACCCTAACCATCGACTTGTACTTAAACGGTCTCTGTTAAGCGGGTGTAAGTCCAAAATCTCATGAGCCCTAGCGTCCTGCGTGATCAACGAAAGCCAGGACTCATGAGTTTTTGGACTTTCGCTCGTCCAATAGAAACCGATTCAATTTCGATGGAGGTAGCAATTGGTGTGGAAAGAGTAAGAAAAGTATCTACGATTGCCAAGTGTCACTCGGCCGTGCGAAAGAAGGACGCCGCGTCGTAGGAGCCGTCATATGTGTGTATACATCCGCTACCTCGGCGCACTAGAGCGCTCTGCGACTCCAAATCGCCATCGGAATCGATCCTCCCACAAACCATCGGATAGATTACACCGCCTCATTTCCCCCTCCACTCCCTCCCGCCAACCTTTTACTGGACGCCCACGTTGTCTTCTTCCGGGAGGAACCTAATCAAATACCTTTCAGCCGTCATACTTTACCAAAAATCCTTTGATAAAATACAAATTCTCAAGGAAAATTGCAAATGTCTCTGTTTGCCGACGAAAGTAGACCGAAAAAAATTTCCGGTGACCTATTTCTCTTCCATGGTTACAGTAAACACTTTTTCAAATTGTCTTCTTCTCAGAGAGCTTTCCGTCAGCGTCGTTGTCGAGTATTTGTTTTTTCCACCAAAATATCTCACTCTTACTCACTTCTCAACTTCGCCTTGTAAACTCTTTAAGAGGTAAGAGAAGTCCCTAGCCGGTTTTAATATTGATAACGAAAACTCAAAACTAGGACAGATAAAGTGTACTTCAGACAATTTTTGAGCTATCAGTGAGGTAAACGTATGCATAGAGTATTGATTTTTTCAATCCTTCTAAAAGAATATCACGAGAATCAGGAAAATAGACATGACAAGCTCATAGAGGAAAATAAACTTTTAATATCATATCCCGCATATCTCTCCATGTGCGTCTGAAAGTATACTCAAAGTGTTTATCATAATGAAAGAATATGAAAACAAGAATTTTCTCACGTGAATGATAAAAAGGTATTTCAAATAAAGAAAAACTAAATATAAAATTGTTCCTGGTTAGATCTGTCGCACGTCCGTCTTTTTTTGGAGCAGTCATCCTGTCGCTCACACAGCATATATTTTCTTTAACGATGGTGTAATGATTGTGAAAAATTCGGGAAGTCGAATCCCAATTTGTAAATTTAAGGAGTCAATTTTTAGTTTCCTTCAATTAAACATAAAATCAATAACTTCAATTACAAACGCTCAACCATTAAAACGATGAACACATTGAATATATCTCTTCGTCTGGTTTTTAAAAGCAGGGCAAATACGAGTGACAAAACTTTAGTTTTCCGTAGAAAATTTCGCTGCTGCACATTTCCGGTAGGTCCTACTCATACATTTTGCTGTGTAAAGTTTTGCACCCATGAAGTTTTGCACTCATGAAGTTAAGCACCCGTAAGGTTTTTTTCGTAAAATGTTTAATGATTCCCATAATAATTGAAATCGGGATGGACTGACATCAATAATTAAAATCACTCAGTGAAATGAAGTGTCCAAGGAACCAATATAGCTTTTCCAAAAATTTTCCAAAGTATTTTTGTGCTTAGAGGTTCAAAACGGACATTACTTTTCTACTTCGTTGATTCCAACTCTCATTTTATAATCTTAGTAGCAACCTTCGTTCCCTCCCAACAATAATACACCTCTCCTTTACCATTTTAACAATATTTTAAAAGGACTTATAGCAAGTATTTACCTTATAATTTACCACATACTGAAAATTTTGACGGTGTCAAACAGTCTGTTGAAGACATGTCTTACAAGATACTTATAATATCGTGTATCTTCCTTCAAAAAGCCATCACTGTGCAATACCATTACGAACGGGAAAACTTGATCAATATGGCTTTCGAAATGTGCCAACATTCGATTGCTACTTCAGAACTCCGAGAAATATGCATTGTTAATTTGGTTCCAAACCTTCAAATCGGCGCCCTTCTCAAAAAATTGCACGACGATTCTATTTCCACCCATGTGATAAACCATCAGCGCGGTTTAAATGCTAATTTCAAAAAACTAGGAACTAAAAATTTTATGTTTTTTGTTTCCAAAATGCGCGATATCCTAAATTTAATTTTAACATCGGCTGCACAAAACATGACTTTAACATCTGAGATGCCGTGGATACCACAGAGATATGACCAAGATTCAAGAGAAAAATTACCAAATTACTGCGTTAAAAACCCTTTGCTTCTTGACCAAAGTATGCATCAATCAAAAAAGTGTGATTTTGAAGTGAACATCACTGTGGAAGAACTTGAGGATGGCTCATCTTTGTCAGATCACGTTTTCAGCTTCACACGGAGACTTCAAATTCACGATATTTGGAACTCAAAAAACAATTTAATCTTCATGATTTCTAAACCAACCGTACCGTCAGACGTTCGAGTATTTCCAGTTATTGACAGTCCAGTGATGAATAATACTGATCACGGAATTAGTAAAACCTATTTAAGCTACCATTATAACGAGGATTCACTTACGTTTAGAGCAGAACTCTATTTCGTTCTTTCATTTACCTGGCGATTTTTTAGAGGCCGAAAAGTGGTCATCTGTATCAGTTCGTGCTATAACTACGATCCGTTTGTCGAAGATCTTCGGATGTACACACAAGGTAATGAGAACTATTTCGACTTTTCCTACACCAATATGCACCAAAAAAAAATAATCATTCATGTGGAGCCAGAAAAAAGAGATAGGTCGGAAAAGCTTTTGACGTGGGACATATGGTGGTACTTAATCCTTAATCTTTTGGGAGAGTACGAGGAGTCATCAAACTGCACTTTTTTACAAGCACAAGCGAAAGATGATTTCGTGAACGAAGATTGCCAAAAGTATGGGTCAGAAACAATGATATCCAGAGGATTTCTTAGCATGACAGAGGCTGAATTTGCCGTCAGTAGTCAAACATTCAGTGTTGAGTCATGCACAATTTGTTTGGTCACTCCTCGGGCTGGTCTGCTGCCGAAATATTTGACACTTGCCAAGTGTTTCACTCCCTTTGGCTGGTCTCTGTGCTTCTGTACAGTTGCAACCCTATTTTTCGTGCAGTATTTTTTTCAACGCATGGAACTCAACACATTCGGCCACATCTACTCAGAAAGAGAACAAACTTTATACGAGCAGAACTCTGCATTGCTAACTGTGTATTCTTATTTTCTGACCGGTACCACTGCTCGAGTACTGCTCGGCCACAAGTACACCGGGAAGATTTTGTTTGTCATTTTCAGTTTTTCCTCGCTCATACTCGGCACGCTATTCCAGAGTAAAATGGTGACATTTCTTAGTGCGGATGTGCGATATGCAGACATCAACACACCGGCAGAATTGAAGGAGTCAGGGATGTCGATTCAATCGTCTGACATCAGTTCACATTCGGAGCTTTTCAAAGAGAAACCTCAATACGAAGAGCTGGCTGAGAGATTAACGGGCAGTCACTTCGCGTACATTGACTTCATCGATGAGCAATTTAACAACAGCGAGTGGTATAGATTGAATTTTATGGGTTACGGTGAATACGACAACGAAAGCAGCACCGAGCCACCGAACTCTTTTGCGCTAAGAAGTAACGCGATCGCAGCTTTGGAGGGTGATGCGTTTGTAATGAATATCCCATACCCTTTCACGTTAAAGGAAAATTACATCGTCACGGACAGTTTCATGGGAGGGAACACTGAGTACCATCGTTTGGAGGAGTGTTTGATGACTTACCCGTTATCATTCCATGTTCAAAAAAACTTGTTCTTCTTCGATTCTCTCAATGAAAAACTCGCACAGTTATTTGAGACCGGTTACGTGCAATTATGGGTTGAAAATAATATAATATCAAGAGACAATCTTTTTGGACTTTCAACTGTATCGGATAATTTAGACGAGAATGCTCCTAAGCCATTTGGTATTAATGATTTGCAGCCGGCTTTCATTGGCCTAACATTAGGTTTACTTGTAAGTTACTTTACCTTCGTGATCGAACTAATGGTCGACTTATCGAACGGCTAAAGCTATAAGAAACTCGCATACCTGTTCAGCAGAGTTTTCTTCCTCTTCTTCTGATAATATTTAGCTATCGAATGATCGCTGGTCCACTACTCTCTAATATGCAGATTGTTCAAAGATTTTAAGTTTGATACGATTGGTTCCTTTTACCCTGGATTAATCGGTCATTTATGCGCACATTTAAAATGATTGCTCCTCCTACACATCGCGATTAAATGAAAAAGGAAAAACTATGACATATATTTCCACGATAATTGGTAACATTAATCATTGTTTTTTCCTTGATTTTCTTAATTGAGGTATCAAGCCAGCCAATTCATAGCGCAGAAGTTAAATATTTTGAGAGAGCATCTCGCAGCGCCGCACTGTCGCGTCGCGCCTTTGTTAGAGATATGCTTAAGCTTCGAGCAACTATTTTAACTCTCCGGAGATCAGCCTATGCGACGAAATGAAAGAATTATTTTTGGTTATGGTACATGTAAATTTAATGAATCGAATCCGAGTGTGATATTCTGATACTGTCATTTTTTTCTATGCGATTAAGAGATAGAGTCAACTCGGTAATATCGTGGTAGAGGAGTTTGTGGGTGTTTGAACTTTGATTAATTTCATGTTTAAGTGAAAACTACTGGCTGAACTGATTGAACCATTGTTGGATAAGTTATTACCAAATTAATTAATCCGCTAAAATGGTAAATGCCACCTGATGACGCCACAAATTCGAATATTATTTCACTTTAATAAATCTCTTTTCCTACGAATGAAGGATTTGCACTCAAATTTGTCATTACTTCACCTGAGGGTGATTAAAGAGCTGATTTCGCAGTATTTTTTACAATTTTCTTCTGATTCGGGGAAAAGTAAAAAAAAAGATTTAAAATTGAGAAAATATACCGCCTAGTGACGTCATCTGACGGCATTTCCCATTAAACCGCGTGTTTTTTAAAAGACTATATCATTTTGTCATATCTCCTCCAATAATTGTTCAATTCATGAACCAAAGATACCCCCGTGTTCGGTTCACTCATTGTCAGTAGCTCACTTTGTAAAAAAAAAAAAAAAAAAAAAAAAAAAAAAAAAAAAAAAAAAAAAAAGAAATAATAATAATAATCTAGTTGCAAGCACCTGCCTCTCTATCCCCGCAACGAAAAAAATATAAAAAAACACTGCATACTCGGCTCATTACACCCTCTCAAGTATAGCAATAACAATTTTGCGAGCAATCTTCATTAGAGATTGAGTGGGATCTCCCGAATTTCAACCCTGCCAACAGTGCTGCCAATACTTGCAAAGCATTCTGAATCCTTCCGCATCGGTCATCCACTCCTAATTATAATAACACGAATTTTGAGTGAAATCAGGCAACATCGATCTCTGCCCAGCTCTCTACCAAGGCGACGGCGACGATAGTGATGGCTCGATGAATGGAATCATCCCCCTCCACCCTATTGACTCCGTATCCGGTGACCGAACAGATTTCCCCGTCGGCGGCAGTCAATGAGTCAGTTGTCCGTGCTCTTCAAAGGCTCAAAGGTAATTTCGTTGTGGGTGCGTTGTCGTTGATCCTCCGGAAATATTTTCAAGTTCGATCGTGAATTCAAGTGCTGTGCCTCGTTTCTAAAGATTGTCATCGATTTAAATTAGCCCGTGTTTCTCGCTATGGAGCAAGTTATTTTGGATCAAATGTACGCTTTCGTGCAAAAGCAGGTTGTGGCAGATATGGACGTGCGAAAATTGAAGGAAAGGCGGAAAACTTTGTCAGCCCTTGCGGATACTATCAGAGCCAAGGTAAGCATCAAACGATTAGAATTGGACTGTATTTTGCGATTCGGAACTATAAATTCTGGCTCTTCTTGAAAAACACTTCTGTGCATAGGGAAACTAATCGCACATACGTTGTTTTTAAACAGATCTAGAATTTATGGTTCCAAATTGCAAAATGTAGTCCAATTGAGGGGCTTAGAAGACAAGTAGGGTAAGTGCAGTTTTTGAGCAGATTGAGATATTAATTATCTCAACTAAGACTAGTCCTAAATTATGTTTTCAAAAAAATTCATTGTGATTTAATTTTTAAGCATCAAAAAGTGGGTCTGAACTTTCTTTCCGCCATGAAATTTTGAAACTTGAAAAAGCAAAAACCGCACTTGTCTCACTTGTCCTCCGAGCCCCTCGGTTATTTGGTCAATGTGTCATTACGAATGTGTCCATCCCATTTAATATTGCATTGTAATATTCCGAAGTTTTGTCACATATGCGATATTTTCTCAATTCTCAACCGGTGGTTTTTAAATGAATTCAGATTTGTAATTTTGAAATTTGAATAAACCGTCACTATCTCGTGACGAGAGGAACAAAGCAGATTTGAAAGCTGACGTTTACGTTCATTTTTATCATGTAAAAATGTAACGAAAGCATTAAACGCCGCTGAAATTGGAGAAAAATGCTCAAAATCTGGGGAGAAAATTTCTCTTACACTAATGAAAGTTCAAAAACTTCACAATTTTCGATACTATTACGAGTACAAACATTTTTATTCTAGAAAAATGTTCCGAAAGGCTGAATTGAAATTTTAATAATTAACGAAATCCGTTTCCTATCTCTATTTCTTACACTCTCTGGATCTTAAAAAGGATATTTTGGTTACAAAAATTAATATAATTAAAAAGCCCCTCCATAGTTTTTAAAGTCTTCATTTGAGAAAAAGAATTCATGTACCAAATTTGACAAAGAAATTCAACGTATTAAAGGCAGGGGTTTTTCAGAGGAAGAATGTCGCATTCGAGTGCAGTTTTGATATGAGTATCAAATGCTATATTTTTCCTCTGAATAGACCCTGCCTTTAATACGTTGCATTTCTTTGTCTTTGGTACATGAATTCTTTAATCTCATGACAACAGAAGTGCGATCTCAAAATTCGAAAAAAATGACAAGTTGCTGAAATTATGGAACGAAATGATGCGATATATCGCACGTCGCTCTGACACAAAAAAATGGCAACCGTCGAATCACCTGATTCCAATTAAAAATGCCGAAGTTTCTCCTGGTAAAAATGCAGTTTTCAAAGGGGAGTTCGGCAACATTGGAATATAGTTACGTTCTTTCAAGAGGGAAATGACGACATATTCCTTTTGAAAAATATGACAAAACCCGTTCAGAGTTTCCTCAATGATCATTCTTTGATGTGTTTGATCTGATGTTACAGCTCCCGGATAATCATCCCTTGAAACAAGAATGCACTCGAAGGTTGTCAGAGCACGAAGACCGAGTGCAAAAAGCCACCCAACAGCTGAACGTGCCAGAATGGTTCCTGAACCGAAATCGCTCCTTCAGCGTCAGTTTGAAGCATCAGAACGAGCCGCAATCATGCCTGAACAATAAAATGTCAACCACCGGCAGACGTCGTAAGTGTTTTCAAAATCATCAACGGAAATATCATTTTTGCCATTTTGCACATCAATTATACTGCCATGCTTAAGAAGAACGCCGTACGGACATTCGAGAGTTGCCAAATTTTCCCGGGCAAAACAGGATGGGTGCCGAAAGGGCGTTTTTTGGTTGCGGTGTTTCAGAATCTCCAGCGCTAATCATTATTTTCGACAGGAAATTATCTGGTGAATTACCTGAATTGTTACGTTTTGAGCGCTGTAAATCATAAAGGATAAAAGTTACAACGAATTACATACATTTGCTTTAATTATAATGGATAAGACGCTAAAAGCGGAGATTTTGAGACACTGCAACCAAAAAACGCCCTATCTGCACCCAGGTTCATCAATTATGCGAATTTTTCCATAAAACTTCCAGACATTCAAATTAAACTGAAAGCGAAATTGTCTGAAAAAGTTTACATATTTTTCCAAAATTTTCCAGTAAATTCGAGTTTTATTGACAGAAATATGGAAGCATTTGAAGGCTCTTACAGCGTTCTTCCTTAGCGCAGCAGTTTAACCTGCCTGACTCAGTAAATACTTACCATAAATCTACTCTAAGGTTCTGTAATTTAATTTCAAGAGTGATTTAAGATGCCACCTCGGTCCCAAAAGTAAAGTACCTTAGGGTACAGAAAATTATTTTTCGATGCATAAACATGCACTCAAGTGCTCTTAAAAAAAAAAAAAAAAAAAAAAAAAAAAAAAAAAAAAAAAAAAAAAAAAAAAAAAACAAAAAACAAAAAAAACAAACAAACAAACAAAAAAAAAGATGTTACCGGTGCAAACTTATTCAACAACTGTAAAATAGACATTTATTCAATTTTTACGGTCTTGGGGAGGGGGGAGAAGTACTTTGATATGCCTTTCGGAGCTTCCACGCAATATTCATGAGGGAGTTTTGTGAATTTGTACTTGAGGAATCGATATGTTGTTCCTAAAATGAACTAGAATTGTGAGAATTATACAGTAAAATAATAAAATTTTAGAGGACTTTCATTGCAAGAGACATTCTAAGTCATGAAAAGGTGACCACATGAATTTTTTTTAACAACAGACAGGATTCAAACGTACAAAAAGCGAGAAGCACAGAGATTTCGGAGTAGGAGAAGGATACTCTCTACACTGCCGTGCTATGGAGGAACGCCGTATGAACATTCGAGTGTTGCCAAATTTCTTTTAATGAAATGTTTATTTTTGAGAAAAACTATGAATATTTTTCCTTGAAATTTTTAGGAACTTTAGATCAAATAAACAAAATTCTCTACTAAATTAAAAGAAAAATATTAACAAGATTACCAGGGAATGCGTGCTTTATCAAAGAAAATTGGCAACGCCTGACGGTTCATAGGACGTTTTTCCTTAGCACGGCAGTACAGTATTCAGAATCGGGATCCCTTGATTTTAAAAGAATCTCTGCAATCCAGGGTTCTGTCGCATCAGACCTACGATGCCGGGGGTCCATCTGGTGTCCATATGAATTGTTCGCCGGAAAACAATAGCGCCCCAGACTTGGTTCCGGCCGTGCCCAAAATCTAGCTCTTGTTCGGGCGGAGGAAGGAGTCAGTGGCGGCCAGAGTTCTTTATCCTCAAAATCTCGTATTTAATCAACTCATCGATCAGTATTCCAATGAAGCGGCAATTAGTTCGGGTTACAAATACTCATCCAGAACTCGGATGGCAGGTAGCGCGTTTTCGCTCGAGATCCGAGAACTTGTCCCGCGGCGGTTGGATTTCCCCTCCGAAACTCATTAGCAAAGCCGCTGCTTCGGGTTCGAAGTATTCGAACTTACAGAAAAAGACGCTGGTATTCAATCCCCTCATATGAGCGGATACCAAATGGCCCGGCTTTTGAATCAGATCTCGGATCGGATTTAAAACCGTGGCCGCCGCTTATTAACTCAAGTCGACGCCTGTATGATACTTCCACCACGACATGCGCTCTTTCAGTGCGTGGACCTCCCCTCCCCGGCCCCGCCGTCTTGTTGCCCTGCACCCTTCCGCCGATTCTGCGTTGCACGGCACCCTTGCAGCTTGCACCTTTCTCTTTCGCTCTGGCTGACCAAGTATCACACCCGCGCCGCGCGGGGGAGCAGCAATTTTTGGGGGGAGCAGTGAATATAATAAATACTTGGCAAAACTTCCAAACCACATGTATCGGTTTGCGACGCCGCAGACTTTCCGTCATACTTTATTATTTATTTGGAAAACTACTTGGTAATACTTAAAAACTGTCGTGATTTTTCTTCCCTGTGAGAGGAAATTTGTGTGAAAATTTGAAAAAATTGTCGACTTCTTCTCCTTTGAAAAAATCAAATAGGAGCGGCGATTTTTAAACTCTGAAAACGAGATGCGTGGTTTGGGAGTTTCACCATCGATACGTTATTCTCTAAATAGAGAACTATCGATCGATTCTTAAATATTTCAGTGATCTTTCTTCTTTGTGCGAGGCGAATTCTTGGACTAATTCAAGGAATAATGTTGTCATTCTTCTGAATAATTATTCTCCTTCAAAAAATGAAACAGGAGCGAAGATTTTTGAAACCGCCAATGGGATGGATTACGTGATTTGGAAGTTTCACCGCCTATATTAGCCATGTTTCTTGGCGCTTCCAACAGTTCCTTAATCCTCGGCTCATTAGAGCCTTGATCTTAAAAAAAAAAAATCATTTCTCATTCTTTCCAAAAAGTCATTGCACAGTGTCAAACTTATGAAAAGAAATTTTCAAAAAAATAAAAAAAAAATAATCATCGAGTGACGCATGTGAGAATGAATATATTCTTTTTTCCCTACTACTTCAAATGGATTACATTTT